GGAACATACTCACGGAGCAACTGCCTGAAGGAAAGATGTCTAATAGTCCGAACATGGGAAGCATGGGGAGCATGGGAAGAATCATTCGATGATCTAAACGATCGATCACCTTCGACAAACCTGAGTGCATCAAAACAACTTCCTCTCCAGCGTCTGATAAATACGACCAACCATTCGGTGCAATTGGTAGACTCGTTGTGCAAGATCGCTGTCGAAGAAATTTATGTTGGTTGGGAACCATACTGCTACAACCTTCCAGATAACACACCAACGTATCGACAACGATGTATGCCACTTCCATTGACAGTAGAAGTAGAATACATGCTGAACGGTAGTTAGTGGGCACAGTCCTGCTTTCCGTTTTGGGTATCGGAGTTATTATATCAAGCTTCCACAAGGCAGGCACCTAGGGCTTGTCTAAACAGCGTTTACAGAATCAGGCCAAAGGACCTGCCAGTTGTCTCTTTGTCTCCCTTGGTGCTTCTGGGCTTATAGTATCAACACTCGAATAGCTATGTTAGCGCAGATACGCCAGTTTTTCCATACAGCTTCAGCAGTAAAAGATGCGTGTGTGTGTCCTGGAGAAAAAAAAGAAAGCGGGGAGATCGCCCGATGATCATTCTCTCTAAACTGTGAGAGAATATTGCGTTCACAATGCGTATGGTGCTTCTATAGATCCTCCGGTTGGATCAGCAGCCGTCCGGAGTAGAGGAATTCTCTGCCTCAGCTTACGAAGGCCAATGGCATGCTTATATAGCAGTTCGTGGTTAGTGCTGAAAGTTTTCGCCATGTTTTGCTGATATGCAGCTTTGTCTTCTCTGAGCAGTTGATTGCAATGTTTATGATAAGTTACGTAGTTTTCTTAAGTTGTTGAAGTTAGTTTTAATATATACGCTCGTCATACTGCCTTGTGTACCGACATTTAGTTTCTAGTTCTGATCCTTACGAATGAAATATATTTGTGCCCATTACAAACTGTATTCCTGAAACATGTATAACCACGATTAAATTTGCTGATGGATTCGATCCAAAGGACATACTAAACGCTATTCAGCAGTGAATAACTAGATTGTGGTTTTGATTAGTCAAGCTAAGCGGTGGTAACATAATCTGGTGCGTCGCATAGCAGGTTTTTCATTTTGATATTTCGCATCGTTGATGAACTGAAAAGCGATGGTTTCATGATAACTGCGACCCATCGGACAGCCTATAACCAACAGATCATTCACATATTCTTCGTTGGTGAACACAATGTCCAACGCAGGTGGTCTGTTGCCTGTCAAAAATGAGTGGTCAAATTGACATGGTTATGAGCGACATATTGGTTACGAACACTTGTAGACCGGCTTTGACTTGTTCTCTGTTTGTAGCATTGTTTTCTATACAATATACTTTAACTTTCTTCATGATCAAGATGCAAGAGTATTTTCTATTTAGAATCTATCTCTGTGTAGTCGTGGGTAGGCAATTCAGTTTGGTAGTGGTGTTCTGGGTAAGGTATACCACAGCAATAAGGCAAGTGACCCTGCCTTTTAATTGTATGCGACACAATGATAATCGCCCAACCACCATTCCACATTTTCCGGGGCCTCGCACTCTATGTCGCTTCGGTAATACGGAATTATCCCTCCTACTTACGTGGGTCTGTCTCTTCGAATGATCGAAATGACCGATAGCGAGACTAAAGCATCCGTCAACCACCGTCTAAACATCTCTCTTTGTCACCCATGACATTGCGTGCTATAGGAACTTGGAAATCTCTCATTTCGGTTACCTTATAGAAAAACATTTCAACGTTTGTATACTAGGTTAGAGTTTTAGTTGTTAGGAGTCTACCTTAACTGAGTAAGTTGTGGGGGAAAGTCGACCGATATGATCTTCGCCGATATTTTTTTATATTTGATACTGATACCATGTTTTAACTTACTTTTGCTAAGGAACGCATAATTCCTCTTACTATTCTGCGTCAGTTAACGCGAACGAACGGCAATGTGTAGTTCTTATGTCATTATGGTTACTTTTGCCTTCTTACATGACTGCATGTCTGACTTTTACAAGTTGTTGCAACTTCAACCAAATTTCAGATGGAAGAATTCTCGGATTGTCCCTCCAGCGTTCTAACTCTTCCGTTGCTGTTAAGCCGGATTAAAATACGAGTGTGGTTTCTATGGCCGTATCCTTCTTAATTTTTTACGATAGACAGCCCATTGAGCGATCGAGCGACAACGTTATTAAACGAGTGTTTAGTGAATGAACCGCACTTATGCCAACTCGTGATTTTAGTTCCAATGACTACTATGGGGAGAAAGCTCCGACATGCGGTGAGTGAATATTGTGTGTAGGTGACCGTTCTTGCTCTGTCATTCCGTTAAGTTATTTCCCATTGTCAAGGAATAAAAGAGATGCCAGGAGAGATGCCTTTCCTAAGGAGCCCGCGTTGCATCGGGTTAACAAAGAGTAAAATATTGTTACATAATTGGCGGCTTCTAGTGTGATACTAGCAAGTCTGAATTTGCCATATTATGCGGGGTTTGGGTGACGATAAAGAATACTCTGTCTATGGGTATGGCTTTCGTGTTTAACCAAATTCACAATGAGTTCCCTTGGTTTTTGATATCGGATAACTTACCAGGCAATGTGACTGGTAGTTTAGAGGACAGTTGGGCACACAACATTCAAAACGCTAATGTTTGATCCCTTTTTTGCTGAGCTCATGCTCCTGGTTTTCTGCTAGGTGGTACCTCTACTTTTGTTCTTGTGTTCGCGTTACTGGTGTGTTTAAAAAAAGTGACCATAAGCTAGGCATCCCCGGTGAAGTAGTAGCGGTATATGCATACGCGAGTAAGGTCTTGGGGCGCTTGGTCTCGACAAGGGACCTTGAGCATCAGATACGGAAGGCTTGTGTCCAACGGCTTTATTTTTGCTAATGATAGCATGGGTTAAGACTGTCGGAACTTAATCGACTCCATGCTGTTGGTAGTGCCCGATCTTCGTTATCATGAGCAACGCTTGACAATCAGAGCTTCGATCCTTATTTGCTAAACGTTATGTCAAACCTAAAGGAAAAATCTTTGTTGTGAACCCCATTGATCATGATTCCAGTGAAGCAACTTTTAAACAAATGCTTTTCTTAGCGGCCAATACGCATTTCTGACAAATACCCGCTACCAGCTGCGCAGTTTTAACCTTTATTCGCTGTTATACATCTGTTTCTAACCGGTCGGACTTCTAGACAAGATAAGAATGGGCTTGATGTATGGGAAGATTGAAACATGAAGTGCAAACGCAAGGGAGAGGTTTTGCGTTGTTCCGATTTCTCATTATGGTTTGAGAAAGTTTTGAACACCATAGATGATAGTACTTGGAACAGTACTAGCAGAAGAAATGTAAATGGAATATTCCATTACAATTTTTAGACCCACAGGCACCTTTCGCCTGGAGCTCTACTTGCTTTCTGCTACTCTTTATGCGGCACAATACCTGGTTGATATTGGTTACTATTCAGATGTTAGTTGCTTACTTTCCCCAGTCAGACGATCGATATGGTTAGAAAAATCAAGTGACGGTGGACTAGAAAGTGATATGGCTAAACGATTCGGCGTAATAGGTTACGTTATTGCACTGATTGGCTTGGTCAAAAGGGGTAATGACCGACTGTGGTTGTTGATCGCTTCTGATTGAATGCAACGTAATGCGGAATACAAGACAGCTACTGCAAATATTATAGGTGAAGCACGAGTTCCCATCATGTTGAGCACCCCAAAAATATTCCTTCGAACAAGTGTAAATCCACCAAGTGCTTGAGAACTGTGGTAGTTGAACGCGTAACTTTCAGAAACAAAATCCTTCACAAATGCCGACGTAAATCATATATCATAAGTTAGTTTATAAGCATAATACAGAAAATAATTATGCACAGTGTAGAGTCGATTAATTCAAGTTGAATGAATGTTATCTTAATGGCGTGCAGCTGATCGATGAGGAATGCTCCACGAAATAGCAGTTGTCAAGTCAGTGGGACCGCACGGAATGGTAAGCGCTTTTAGCTGAGCGATCGCTATGTTCAGGATAAATTTGTTGACCAATTTTTCTTGCTATTTAAAACGAGTTTACGGCATGCGCATAATCCTACCATTATCGAATCACACGCAGAATGCTTGGCAATCCCATGGCTTTCATATTTCAGAGGATTTTTAACGTCTTGTACGTTGCTTTTTCCCTACAGTAAGCAGTATGGTAGAAATTGCTGTTGTATATTTCTTAGTGCTACTAACCCGAGACATTTTCGTAGTGCCGCGCAGATGATGAGGTTACAGATTGCACTTTGTGGAAAATAGAAAATCTGGCTGAGCTAATATACACCGTCGAAAATATGTGCATATCTGATTGACGTGCATAGGTATGATCTGTCAGATTCACCAATTTATTTACCTGCACCGGTGACGAAGTGGTGGAATTTTATATAAATGCTGGTTGAATTGGCAAAATGTAACTTATACCAGACATTAGCAGGCTACATATGCAAGGTTAAAATTATTTTTCCTAAATTCATAAATCTGCAAGTGTAGGCTATCATAGAACCAGCTTGGTTGGGAGAAAATTTAGCAGACTGATTAGAAACAGTGCCTAAACAAACAGGGGCCATGAATCTGGAACCTCTCGTCATGCGCAGTAAAATGTATATTTCGCGTTTTGCTTGCAGCGCGTAATATTTTTCGTATAGCTTTGTCAGAGTGTGGAGTAACTTCGCATTATGAATCGCACAGATTTATGTTTACAACGCTGCTATCGAGATGTACACCTCTCCACCTGAGTAGCACTTTTAGTGTTCTGTTAGTAAATGTGTACAATAACATGACCAAACCTGCAACTTTTCTCACAATGTTTTCATTATCTCAGCAATTATTTTCAAACCTAAAACTGCACGGTCTTAATCTACAGGATGTCATATTTTTGTACATTTATTAAAGACATTCACTTGCTTCGTTTATATGACGCAGATAATGCGTGTGTTTAATCACACAATCACCCCGGACGCCGAATTTGTTGTATGGAATTCATCATGCCAAAGAATAAATAGCCAAACAGCTGGTGGTCGTTTACTGATAAATTTAAAGACGACTACACCAGTATTTGGAAAGGCAGCTGGAAAGAATGCGCGCAAATTGGAGAAACTGCTTGCAAGTTTCTTAAAATCTCTGACTAAAAGCGTGCAAATGAGCATAAAAGTCAAACGTAAGTCATTTAAAGTTTAAACTAGTGTTCATATATTTTTATTTTGCCCTTTAAAAGTATATTTTGAAATGAAGAACGTAAGGCTAAAGTAAGCAATTGCATCTAATCCTAAGTATAAATAGCGTATCACAAGTACTCGATAAATTTAATTTGGCCGATTTGGTGTCAGTATTTGTAGTCGCAAAATTCACACTTAATACTGCATAGAAATACTTTTAGCAACCCCATTGGTGGATGTCGTCAAAGCATGCAAAGAAATAGCACAGATGCATGTAGTTGTTAATATGTGGTGCTTTCTTGTAAATAACCTAGGATAGCAAATGAAAAAAATCACTATCTTGATTGCAACAAAGATGATGTTTTTATCACTTAATCTTCGAGATATGATGTTAGATTAATTAGCTGACAAACTAACCGTACGCGTGCGCACTAAGTACACTTTTTATTTATCACAAGTGTTCCTAAATGTGGCAAGCATGTAGCTTATGCAGCATCACTTTGCAATTGGTACAATTTGTAAACGTTGAATGTTGAGAACGTACCAGAAGCCTATGTTTTGTGATACTAATAGAAATCAAACGGATACCGACAAACTTTAGTCTGAATAGAATAATTTCAATTTGCAACATATAATCAGCGTTGGCTTTACAAAGTACGATTGCAAAGACCCTATAACATGTATATTTCTCAGGTGACGGTGTAGCCTAGATTTAAATAGCATGTTAAACAACCAAACAAACAAAACATAGGCCATTAATGTGTCGATGTTAATATTTTTCAAAGTAAAGACGTTGAACATACAAAAGCATGATATGCTTTCTGGGCATTTTGTCCATTAAAAGATATTACTTCCACGATGTTCCAGTCGTCACCCAGTCGATCAGTAAAACAGATAATATCAAGTGTCATATATCTGTCTGCTCAAAATCTAACTGAATATTACCTTTCTCTGTGATTCTTTTTCCAGATGTACTTACGCACAATTATCAGTTACCACTTAAGTGAACTACGCTTCACATACCACCTGCATCAACCTTTGGTCGCCCTAATCTGTAATTTACGGGTTCCACCTCAAAAGTACATTAAATCATCATATTATTATATCATGCAAATATTTTCTTTGACCATTGACCCAATCTACAGCTTTGAGAAGAGGAGATCTCAAAAATATCAACAGCAAAATCTTCATGAAAGATTTTCAAGTAGTTGTTCAGGATTACAATGGATCTACCTTCACTCCACCTTCAGTCCTAAGTACGAAATTACATTTCTGCTTGCACTTTTATTTTTTAATCTTAGAACATTGCTTATACTGTTGCCAGTAGCAAAGTAAAAGTTAACAACTAATTATAATCGGAATCTCTAGACAACTAAACGCTGACAATGTGTTTCATAACTTTGCAGACATTATTTTATCCAACATCGAATGTCGCCTTGTACTGAATGCGTCTATTTCCCAAAAAACGACGGACAGACCCCAGAAGTTAGAACAGCAACATTCTGCAATTTCTATACACGTTTCTTTAAAAAGTGTGCTCAATATGCCGTACGCATTATGGTTTGCATTATTTCCCTCTAGTGATATTTCGTTGCAAGACACATGACTCAGCCTACCATACGCTGATTCACTTTGCCTACAGTAAAGTCCAAAACACCAAAATTCAGGCACAATGGATGAAAAAAAGTACAGTGAAAAGACGAAAGACATATATATAAATATATCTTTATGTGTGTGAACGGCATAGTTAAAATGGGTTAGTATCACGTTCACGCACATTATACGGACATCAATCTGAAGAACGATACAGAATTTAACAGATAAACCCAACCGCTATGGATTCGCCCACATATATGTTTACTAGACATCCCGTTATTTTTCGATACTCCTTGGGATCAAGTTTTACGTTTTTGCTGGTTAGATGAACGCAATGAATTAAGATAATTGCAACGTTCACCACCCATTTCATCAAACACCTTCTCATACCCATAACACTTTTGCATTGATTACAAAATTAGAGAACTTGTTCCGCAAAAGTTATAACCGATGCCGACTGCAGAACTTGGATAAACTACATATTCTAGTCAGTTGATTCCCTTGGATTATAGTTTAATTTACCACCTATGGCAGAGTAAATGAATAATTGCATTCATGACGCATTTAATCTGCTGGCTTAGAAAAACTCGAAATTGGGGCGTACGTTAAGAAACTATTTTACTTTAGACTCCTGTGACTCAACGGTACACCTATGTCCATTAGAAGAAATATTTATTACTAAATCTACAACCTTGATTGCTTAGGCACATAAATACCAACACCAACTTTCAAATGTTATCATTACGCGCATTCAGTTTAAAAGCGAATAGCATAGGTCATAAGGAATGTATAACAGAAACGTGGTATATGTTACACCGAACCATACAAAAGAGCTGACATCATTGGATATTCTGCTGTGTATTTACTTCAAAGATAACCTGCACAAGTCCAAATAAACCCTATTCTTTCTAAACGTTGCTTATTAATTCAAGATAACTACATATGTCTAACAAATGAGCGAGAGTATTAGCGCAAAATGCATTGAGTAAAAACAAGGGTTCCAGAAACACAACTGACTTTTAAAAGTTCTTTCATATTTTTTGATATCCCACCACAATATGATTAAGTACTTAAAGTCTCAAGTTCACTCACCTGCAAATGTCCGCCGAGTCACATCAGTTAATATCAGGATTATATAGTAATTCACTACTTGAAACAAAACAAGTCCCTTTACGCTTTGGAAATATCTATCAGGCAAAACACCGTTAATTTACTTGTGGTTATGCGGAAAAGACTACCCAAAAGACTACCCAATAAATTGAGAGACTTATTTCCAAAACAATAAAACTGTGGCGAAATTGCCTGGTAATACACAATAATATTGCAAGAGACATGAAAAAGTAGAAGGCAATAGATAACCAAAATGCTGCAGGAAGCACCATGATTAAGTTATACCTTCTTTTGTTGGTTAGAAAAGGATGTTAATCCTGCAGACCAAGCAAAAATTAATATATATTCTAGGACATCATGTTATTTTGACAAAATAATGCATTTCGTGTTGGTAAATCGGACGTTACGCTAATAGCCGTAACCTACACCTTTTTTGCTAAGCATATATATATCTACGTGTGACGAATATTATGTATTAAGGTTCGATCTTAAGACAACATATACTTTGTATTGGAACTGATTGACTTAAAGCGGCACTTTAGGTAAAGCTAAAAGTATTTTTTATTAGTGAAGGAAATAACAAGAACGATTAATTAATAAGACCATTTTGGGAGATAGTTTATTGAACAACTAACTAGTTACTCAGTTTTATTTTGTACGTGCATGCGGATTATATATATATATATAAGAGGCTATTATATAACCCTACGGTTGTCAGTATTTGTAAAACTTTATATAACTGTTGAAGTTTTCTTAGTGAGAATTATTAGCACCGACGAAAAATAAAAGGTCTGCGTGTACTTATTTTTTTAAATATATATTTCCCTTTATTTTGAAATCCGTTAAGCGTAAACGCCTAGCTTGTTCACTTATTTATGTTATTCTAGAAATGGAAATTATTTGGGAGGCATCTAAGAACATTGATTACCGGATTCAAAGGAACATAAATATTACGCGTCACGTAAGCACCTTTATTCTAAAATTTTCCGTGTGATAGTAGAGGAGCATGTCAATGCTTATGGTCGTTAATTGGTAATAACTTGAATTTGAACATTTTATTTTATCTTCCTCTCTATAATATTGTCAACCTGAAAAGATTATATCATCAAAGTTGTAACCAAAGCGAAATCAGAAGATTTCGACTGTATTGGCAAAACCCATGCTGTACATTCTAAACTGCTTCGCATATCGACAAGCAAAACAAATGCATTTGCAACCAGCGACTTAATATTATGTATATTGTGGCTGAGAAACAAGTTGTTAAGAAAATTTGACAAAGAGTCTGAGTAGGCATCAATAAAACCGGAATATTTTAGCAACCGTGGCTCAGTAAGTGTTTCAAGCGCAAATATGCCTGACGAGTTAATCTTTTTAAGCATATAAAAACAAGTTATGAAGCACTGATATAACGTGTATGTTCTCCATTAAATATCTTTTAAGGTGCATGTGCAAAAGTTGTTCATATACGAAAAGACAATTTGCACAAAAAATCTTTTTGTTCACAATTGTCGCTGTTTGATTTCCATTCGGTAATGCACAAACATTCAACCTAGCGCAATATTTAGTCCAGGGTAATCATGAACTCTTAAAATGAGTATTAGCAATTGCAAACCCTTCTGTTTACTAAAGTATATGTAAAAATGCATAAGTACTATTTAGTATTGGAATCCGGGTCAAAGACTATATGTTAAATTATTGGTCATATAGTAATATCAACTTTCTTGCATCATTGAACATCATTTGGTTACTAAGACATGTTCGATTGAAGTAATGCACATATCTAATGGTATAAGTGCTATTGCTTTTAATGAACTAATAGATCATATGTTGCACTTTGCCAGTCCTCGCGGAACCGACGACGTTAAGGTTGGCTTCTCGCTTTCGGCAGAAATCTATGCATTGTAACCAAATAGATGCTTTTTTCAATTTTAGATTCTTCGGAGTCTCAAGAGTGCTCGCCACGACATAGATGCCATCCGTATCACTGATCACGGTTGCATGCCCATTAGCAATATTTCGGCAAGAGGCAGCATTGTTATTCGTTCATCTAAAGGCAGGAACAACTCTGGTACGCGAATCAAGAGAATGGATGTTGTTGATGCGTTAAACAAACGCAATTCGACCGAAGGACATTCGCTTATTTTCAGACTGAAAGGCAAAGGAGAAACATTCTAGATGAGAAGATAACAGAGGCATTACGCGTAAGTACAGATAAGGAGCATTATTACAGTTTTAAAAAAAGTTTTCCTTAAATCTATGTTTTAACCTTGAGAGAAACAGCATGTGACTGAATTAACAAGAAATGGCGGAATTCAG